AGATGATGTTACAGGACTGCACTTCATTGACTCCTAGCTTAGAAATAGGGAGTGAAGTGATTAGTGGAGCGTGTTGATCACTTCACTTGTTATTTGGGAAGTTGCATCAGCCAACGCTAACAGGTTGATCGCTAACGAAATCTCAGCATGGATACAGAAGGCTCATTTCGCACATGCCAGTCTACGCCGTCTCTGGTGTAGGCGTGGTATCCGGCTATCGACTTTGGCACGTGTGTACTGCTCAGCAGTTCGCTCCGTCCTCCTTTATGGCTGGCTGTGAGACCTGGCCATTGAGAGTGGAAGACATGAAAAGACTGGGTAGCTAGCTGTCTTTGATCATAGGTGCCTGCGTTCTGTCTCCCGTGTGTGTCAAGTGGTATTATAGGGAGAGCAATATTGAGGTTAGGCGTCGAGTCCTAGGTGAGTTGGAGGGGAAATAAATCCACGGGGTTGTGAATTTACATCGACTGAGATGGTTAAAAAATGTGTTACGTGTTCCTGGTTGGGGTCCTTGGAATGGTAAACACCAATGGAGGCTGGAGACAATTGGTGATATGGCTCAAACTCATCGTTCTCAATGGATGTCACAGATGCACCCACTCCTTGTGCCTTATAATTTCCAATAAAACCACATTGTTCTTCGATATTGCTGTTCATTTTACCTCATATCTCTGTTTACTGTCTCTATTTTGCATTCATTTCTTTTTACTTTCTTCTCTTGTTTTGTGTGCTGAGTGAAGTGTGGCAACTTGAACTGCTGCACATCGGTGCAAAGTTCTATGTTGAAAACAGACAGACAGATTGACCGAAGTAAGAATATACTTGGACTACTGTACTTCATCCCATAAGGCTCACACAGTCTTGTATTGCCTAACAGTACCAAACACTTGCCCAATAATCCATTTAGAATTGAGACTCATTGGTCTAGGCACACAACTTCCAAGCGGTGAGCCACGTGTTCGAGTCCTGCCCCACCTAACAAGATTTGAGCAACAAGGTGGTATCACTAGCCTTCAAAACAGTAGGTGTGGCTGATTTACAACTGCAGAGAATTACAACTGATTCCATATAAATTTGTTTATTAGATATATCTCTAGATTTCTTATCTTATTCGGGTCAACCAATCTAAATTTTGCTAAGTTTTTATGTTTGGCTAGTCTGACTGCCCCTGTTCTACTACTTTGACCTATATATTTGACCTGAAAATCATTGCAGGGTATGAGATAAACTAAATTGTTTTGTTTTAAAGGCTCTACAGGATCCTTTAACCGACAAAGCTTGTTTCTAATTGAGTTTGTGGGTTTGAATGCCAGCCATTTTTATTCCTGCCTTGTTAAGAATTCTGCGTAATGTTTCTGAGATTCCTTCCTTGTATGGAATTACTACTGATGATTTAGATTCCCTATTACTGGTGTCGTCATTATTATTATTATTGTTATTATCACTATTGTTATTATCACCTCGGAAACCTTACACAGAATTCTTAACAAGGCAGGAATAAAAATGGCTGGCATTCAAACCCACAAACTCAATTAGAAACAAGCTTTGTCGGTTAAAGGATCCTGTAGAGCCTTTAAGACAAAACAATTTAGTTTATCTCATACCCTGCAATGATTGTCAGGTCAAATACATAGGTCAAAGTAGTAGAACAGGGGCAGTTAGACTAGCTGAACATAAAAACCTAGCAGCGAAATCTATATTGGTTGACCCAAATAAGACAAGAAATCTGGAGAATAGTTCAGCTATAGCACTAAATGCAGTTACACACAACCATATAATAGGATGGGATAGGATGACAGCTTTAAAATCTAATGTCACAAGGTGGTGGAGGGAGAGATTGATAACATAAGTTTTGTTTATCGAATCAACTGAAGAGAATACGTGTAATAGGAATAAATTTTGTTCGAAACAGCATCCAGTAAATAATACTGTTTCACTGTGTGATATATCTAATAAACAAACTGATATGGAATTACTTACTACCACAGTGCCCAAGTTTTACACATATATTAAATTACAACTGATTGTTGAGCGAAATTTCTTTTATCCCTGATTTCCAGTGGTTTGCTAACTGGTGTCACTTTGTAAGTCTCATGTCAAAGAATGTTGTATAGCATTAGGTGCGAAGAATGAGCTATGACTCACTTCTAATCATGAAGTCACTGGTTCAAACCCCACCTCACCTACCGGGGTTTCAACAGCCCGGTGTCGTTAGTATCATTAGCCTCCACGTAATAAGTGAATCAACTACAAGGAAACTCAAGAAGTTGGTTTTAGTTCAGTAGGAATGTACAATACTCATCATAAATATTCAACTTGGAAACAAAGTGAAACAATGATCAATTCTCAAGTATCGGTTTTGTAGGGATTTAGTTCGATTGGATAGAGGATTTCATCGCACTATGTCGTGAATTGGCAGGAGTTAGAATTCATGGGCCATTGGATCGGGTCCCAGTGGCTGATGAATGGTCTACGAGCTAGCCTGTGGTGGGTGCGTACTGATGAAGAGTCCCAAACTGGGACGAAACAACTGTCCAGTACTCCCAGGTTTTCCAGTGGTCCTCTAACTGATGTCAGCTCATGATGAAATCCTCTATCCAACGATCAATTCGTTTCTTCATTTGACAAATTGAACAAATATACAAACTTGTAGAATCTATTCCTTGTTTTTAAGTCAATTTCGATTTTCCTATCGACTGACTAGACCAAAATGTTCGGCCTCTATTAACCTATCGGCTCCAGATATGGCCCATTCGATGATGTGTGATAATTAACTTGAAATAATTTGGTGGATGGCTGCTAGCAACGGAATTCAAGATGCACATTTCGTCCCGCTTGGGACTCGTTATCTGGATGTACCTGCATTCCCCAGCGAACGATGGTATTCCTCTTGTGCAACGAGGTAAAAAGGTGGCTTTTACGGTCCAAGTGGTCAAGTGGATAACACTTCGGCTCTTGAAACCATGCATACAGTGTTCCCGACTCAGTAGAAACACTATCACACATTTAGAATTATAAAGGAACTTCAGCGAAAGACTCTTTTCGGCGAATTCATTCACATAGCTGTACAATCGCATTTATATATAAATTGTTTGTTACAGATTAGTTTTTTCATATGACTCAATGGGGATTTTCAATCTACATTTAGAATTGTTGTAACAGTGTAGCCATTATACAAAATGACACAATGAATCAATGTGTATAAGAAGACTCTAGAAGACCTGGATTTCACAGATGTCTTTTGTCTAATGTCAACTAAGATTCGAAGACTTACAGGCGAAAACTAACAAACCGGCAGATGAGGCAGGGGCAGAGTAAAACAGGACTCTTCAGGTGAACATAGAGAAGACATAAGTGATGGAGATGCCTAATCAACAACGATAAGCACCAATCACCATCAACGGGAGAGATTTGTCAGAGCACGATTTCAACCACAGGCCAGCGGATCGGATGAAGATGTCAAAGCTGGACAGAATCAGAACCGGCAAGATACACATTCATCAACCTGAAACCAGTTTGGAAATCTTCTGCTCTCACTCAGCCAGCATAAAGAACAAGATTCGGATTTACAACACAAATGTCAAGTCAGTCACTTCTTCTATGTCTGTCTGTCTATTCCCGACATAGAACTTTGCACATATGTCGGCAGTTCAAGTCGCCACACTCCCTCCTTGTAGCACACAAAGCAAGAGAAGAAAGTAGGAGAAATGCATAATATAGACAGTAAACAAAGGTGTAAGACAAAGGAATAGTAATGACGAAGAGCAAAATAGTTTCATTGGAAATCATAAGTCACAAGGAGTGAATGCATCTGCGTTAGCCATTGAGAACGATTTTGAGCCATGTCACCAATTGTTTCCAACCATTGGTTTTTACCGTCCCGAGGACTCCAACCAGGAAGTCTACACCTCCCTACGTGGCTTAGACTAACTGTTGTAGATTTCATTGACTGATGAAGCCATGTTTTGGTTTGACCACCGCTAGCTCTTTCCCAGTCTGACCCTATGGCAGCTAACATTGCCCGTCGAGGAAGGCGATGACTAGGCATTCGTACCACATGTCCTAACCATCTCAGTCGATGTAACTTCACAGCCTCGTCGATTGATTTCTCCTCTCACCTACCTGGCACTCGACGCCTAACTTCAGTATTCCTTACACTACTATACCACTTCACACACACTTCTATATAGGTCAGAAACTTAGTGCGTCACTGAAAGTAATTCCAACAGGTTGCAGACTTTTATCAACAGCTGTCTTTACCGGCTCCATACTGAAGATCAAATGGCCGGCCAGAAAGAATTAGCAACAAGAATCTCTGGCTGGCAACAAACTAACCAGGAACCTACCACCCAACTAATATGCCGAAGAAAATGAAGATGGATAAGACACGGACGCTGAGGAGGCCATCGAATGACATCACGAGCCAGGTCATCACTCAAGTGGAACCAGAATGCGAAACGACCAGTTGGGTGTCAATTATTATTATTATTATTGTTTCCTTTAATTCCTAGAGGAACATAGGGCTTCAGCCACGCACGTCTCCATTGCGTTCAGTTCTCTGCTAGAGTCTTCACCTGGCTCCAAGTCTGCCCACACGCTTTCATCTCCTCTTCACATGACCTCCTCCAAGTCACCCTTGCACTGACGACCAACTCGCCGCTTCCCTTTCGGGTTCCACTCGAGCAATGGCTTGTCTAGTGATGTCACTTGAGTATGGCCAATCCATCTCCATTTCTTCCTGCCTATTTGTTTCACAATTAGAGAGTGATATATGGAAGAGATCATGCGACGAAAAGATGAGAGACTATGGGTAATGGTAAGGCCAGCTGAAGAGGACCTCGGAAAATAGAAAATAGCTGAAACGTGTCGTTGAAGGCATTTTGTTCCACTTGGAACCTAAAGAAACAATATCCAAAATAGTAATAATACAACCCTCTACTAATAGTTAGCAAAAATACCTCAATTATGTTATTGTAATATTAAAATAAACAGCAACTTACAATCTGTTAGTTGGTACAAATTTAATCCAGTTAACTGATTGACCAGAATCTACTAACCATAATGAAGATAATAAAACGCCAATTAGTAGAAACAATAAGAATCTTCCCCTTCTCCTCTTCCTTATACTACTACTACTAATACCACAATCAGTAGTACTACTGTCTATTGGCGTATTTTTATCACTCAAAAGCAAACACCACTGCCAATAAGTGTACAGACATGTGATTAGCACAAATATAGCAAAACAAACACGTACAGCACCAATAGGATAAAATTCATTCATTGGATCCAATTTACTCAGCGATTTTGTTATCCACGGATCCAGTGTAGATCGACAATGCGTAGAGGTGCTTAGGCTTAATTCTTCACGACAAATTAGTAGATGCCAGATTAGCATTCGAAAAATCATCAAAATACTAAATAAAATTAAGGCAGAAGGTGAGCGATAAAGAAATGCGGCACAATTTTGAGAAAAACTCACAATACTACTGTTAATGACAGTTTTTTCAGTAGTGCAGGAATTTAAAACCACACAAACTAAGCGGATAATAAAAAAACTTTGAATAAAATAATATGTGATATGAAATTCATGAATAAGTAAACTGTTCGATAAATAACTTAATGACATCAGGAGAATTAAAACAAAACAAAGCATACTACTATTAAACGCGTCAAACAGATTATAAGTAATATGTTGCAAAAATACAAAAAATATCGGCGATAATACCAATAAAATAACAAAAACAAAGTATAAAATTTGAGGAATTTGTAAATTCATACATAGGAATGATAGGATACAAGCAAGGCATAAAGAAATACTACACAGATATGGATTTTTCATCACATGAGCTTGTTCAATACATAAAATGAGATTGAATAAACTAGCCAGTGTGAGAAGTAAGCCCAGGGATATTTCCAACTCATTAAATTGTGTCCAATGATCACGAAAGATGGATTGTAATGCTTTTAAACTAGTCAGCAATTCTTCAGGAGTCAATCGATATATCCAGTCATACGTTGAACTATGCACTAAACGTTCCATATGAGATGAAAGCTCTGAAGGCAATGGTAGTTTACTAATGTTGTAGAAATAATTCGCCGTAAAGGTGAACATCTAAATAAATGTAAAGCAATAAAAGGAAAGTATATTTATATTACTTACTACTAAATAAGTAGTGCAAATTAAAATGCAACAATTTTTCATGGTTATCATCGTAAAGTTTCATCTTATTAAATTAGGATTTAAGAGAGGTCCTCAGCTGTTGAACATACGCCGTTTTGATAAGCCATGTTATTTCTGCATGCAAATGATAATCTACTAACTGGTGGTGAGACTGCTTGAAATAGTTGTGGTTTGGTGAACTGTTAGCGATGTAGTGTATAAAAATCTGGGGGTCGCGACAGAATTCAAACCATCAACCTACGACTGATAAACGAGTCATCATTTCACTAGGATCACCATGGTTAATATCCAGTTGTCATATGAATGAGTCATTTGTTGCTATCCGTTCATCAGCACACTAGCTGCCCAGCTAAGAGTCCTCGTTCTCCTGTCAATCTTAATCACACTAGTCTGTCTGTCTGTCTCTTTTCAACATAGAACTTTGCACCGATGTGCAGCAGGTCAAGTCGCCACACTCCCTCCTTGTAGCACACAAAGCAAGAGAAGAAATTAAAGAGAAATGCGAAATAGAGACAGTAAAGAGAGATATGAGACAAAAGGAATAGTAATAACGAAGAACAATATAGTTTCTGTATCTGCAGGAGCAGTTACATTGGGAGAACAGAAAGAAAGGCACACCTCCGATTTTCTGAATATGTGCCGAAAAGCCTACGTCCCAAGGGAACAAACTCTTATAGTAGCGCTATTATCAGACATCTCCTCGACACGGGTCATGAGGTGGAAATCGAGAAATCCTTTAAAATTATCAATAGACAAAGGAGCTCCATTCTCCTCAAGTTTGTCGAAGCAATCTCTATCAAACGCTTGAAACCAGATTTATGTGTTCAGAAAGAAGCAGTTATTAGTCTTTCCTTGCCCTGTCTGGTAACTGGATGTCTTTATTCTTTCTTTCATTTGATTACGTAATCTTTGGCTTTAATCTCACCCCTTTGATATAGTTTAATTTCGCTTGTCTCTTGTTTCTATGATTTGAGTTGAACTCAGTACATTGTTACCTAATTTATTAGTCACTCTGCATCTAACGCATATCTCATCTTTATTACGTAACTCCTTTACCATTGTATGCATACATTTATTTTGTTTAAACTTGAACTGCCTGTGTAAAAACTATATAAGCGCAATTTTCTGAGCACTGTTCACTAATTGTGAAACTTTCTGTCAACTGACAACATGTAAAATTTGCAAGTATGTTAAAACTTTTCTGTACGTAAACCTCATAATTTATTTAGGCTGTAAGCAGCTGATGAGAAGCCAACGAAATAAATGATGGTACCATATTATTCTGCACAAACCACTGTTGTTCTTGCTTTATTCAATATAGTTTCATTCGAAGTAATAAGTAATAAAGGGTGGATGCATCTGCGCCAGCCATTGAGAACGATGAGTTTGAGCCATATCACCGATTTTCTCCAGCCTTCATCGGTTTTTACCGTCCCGAGGAGCTCAACCAGGAAGTCTACACCTTCCTACGTGGCTGGCTTACACCAACTGTTGTGGATTTTATTGACTGATGAAGCCATTCTTTGGTTTGGCCACCACAAGCCAGCTCTTTTCCAACCTGACCCTATGTCAGCTAACATTGACTGTTGGTCGAAGAAGGTGATGACTAGGCATACGTAACACATGTCCTAACCATCTCAGTCGATGTAACTTCACAGCCTCGTCGATTGATTGCTCCTCCCACCTACCTAGCACTCGATGCCTAACCTCAGTATTGCTTACCCTACTATACCACTTCACACGGGAGATAGAACGCAGCCATCTATGGTCAAAGACAGCTAGCTGGCCTTTTCATGTCTTCCACTCTCAATGGCCAGGTCTCACAGCCAGTCATAAAGGAGGACGGAGCGAACTGCTGAGCAGTACACACACCCTTTAGTCGATAGGCAGCCGGATATCACGTCTGGCAATCATACTAGACCAGGTAGGGAGGAGGAGGGGAAGAAGCAGGTTGTTAACTGTTGGCGGTGGTGAGATTATCTGAGGTCAACACACACACACACACACTATTACTCATGTAATAGTTAATAAAATGGAGGAAACAATTACCTGAATAAAATTCAATACTAATCCATTATGCAGATTGACATGATTTCGTAGTAAATCTTCGCATAATATTCCTAAATTTGAATATGGTATAGGAACACCGGTTAAAAGTGATAATGTTGGCACAAGATCAATTTGAGCTAGCCGTTGCTTTCTTGGCTTCTTCCTCTTCATCGTTGTCACATCATCCTCTGCTGATATTCCTTTTGAAGAAGAAAAGATAGATGGCGAAGAAGTGTTCTGATTACCAGTGAATACAAGCAGTGCTGCTTCTAACTCCCCATCACTATCTCCACCATGATCACCTGATCGAGTCATTCCATGATCACCCATAATAAGGAAAATATCATTCGGTTGTAGTTTTGAGATTATACGACTAGAAAGAAAGGGAAAAGTAAAGATTACGATAAAAGAGGAGATATATTTGAATTTCCAATCAGATTATCCAATAAGAATGAAAGTTTCAGTAGCTGTAAATCCCACCACCAGGGTTTGAAACTAGGATGTTCAGCCGCTGGGACCCAATTCAATGGACCATGAACTCTAACTTCTATCAATTCGTGATTTAGCGCGATTTTTTTTTTATTATAGCTTGATTCCACACCGTGTTTTTGCTACAAGTATGGAATTTTCAGCTTGTGATATCGGTAGCCCAAATTTTGCAGGCCGACCATTGATATCGGCTATGCGTCGGCAGGGGATCGAACCCCGTAAGAGGAATGGATACGAGACTGTGGACAATAGTAGCGCCAGCTAAATAGGACTGCAGAGAATAGGACAACGTGGAGATGTGCTGTTGAAGAGTCCTATGTTCTACGCGCAACCCAAGACGACAATAATAACAATCATAATAGTTAGTATCAAATAAATCCCTTAGAAATACAACTTTGATTGAAACGACTTCTTTTGTAGAAGTTAATTGGTGGATAATGACTAGCAGTGGATGCGGATTTCGTCCTACTTGGGACTCGTCAGCTATTGGATGTACCTGCATTCCGCAGTGAGTCAGTGATGATGTTCCCACTGAGGTTCGAACCCAGTGCCCATAGTTTCAAACGACAAAGCGTTATCCACTAGACCACTTGGGCCACGAGAGAGTTCGAGCCTCGGTGGGAACATCATCACTGACTCACTGGGGAATGCAGGTACATCCAGCCACCGACGAGTCCCAAATAGGACGAAATGCGCTTTATCCTGGTTGATTCCACTGCTAGTCACCATCCACCAATTAACTTCTAATTAAATGCCCAGACATCGTCGAAGCATCTGCACAAGAAGCCGACGGACATGTCAACCTGGGAGAGACCGAGCACTTCGGTCCAATCAATCGACGGGAAAATCTAAAATTGAATTAGACTTCTTTTTAGTGTTTTACAAATTCAAAAACTGTCAAAACAAAACAAAAAATGTCAAGAAAATAAAAGTTCTTATATACAACACAGTTTAATAGGTGAATTAAGACGCATAGCAATAGTGTTGTGCAAAGGACGCTTCAATCAACACCCCACCCCCGGATTAGACAAATGAAGAAAATCGATGATAATAATTGAAGTCAACTGAACAGGAAGCATATAATAAAGTAAACAATACCACAATAAGGTCAGTGTTAAGTACATTAAACATTCGACAAATTGATAGTGAGATAAACAATGAATTATGCAACCGATTACCACCACCCCACACACCCACGCATTGTCTCCAACTTAGTAATTTTTAAGGCTAACTATTACAAAACAAATTTTGTTGAAATGTATTTACAGTTTAAATATACTTTATTCATGTCATGTACGAATTACTAAGAAGAGAATACTCTTATTTACCAAGCTAAGAGCCTCACTTGTCATACGAGAGCTTATGATACTACTTGTTCTGTCTCTCGTGTTAAGTGGTGTAATATAGTGAGCGGTATTCAGGTTAGGCGTAGAGTGTTACGTAAGGAGAGAAATTAAATCGATAAGTTTGTTAAACTACATCGATTAAGACGGTTAGGCTACGTGTTACGCATGCCAAGCTACCGGCTTCCTCGTCGAGCAATGTTCGCTGACATAGGATTAAGTTGGTAAAGGTGAAATTTACTGATGACGTTTCGAGCACAATTTATTGCTCATATTGATCCGTAGCTCAGCCGTAAAGAAGGCTTTCCTAATGTGATCTGCATAAGCGATTCTTCAGGATCTCAACTGCGGTATCACCTTTAAATTCAACGCTCATAAATAGCAGTTTCTTCGGCACCGTCTGGGTTCTTTCAGGCTTTTGCTTTAACCTCATGTTTTTCTCGATAAATCTTGGAGGACTTGTCTGAGTCGCTCCAGTTCAATTTCTACAGCCGATAAATGATCAATGGATGTGTGTAGGATAAACTGCCGCTTTGGACGGGCCACTTCAGTGTGTGTTTATAAATTCACCTGCTCCTGTGGAGCTAGTTATATTGGCCGTACAAAGCGCACACTTTCCAAACGCATCTCTGAACATTATCCGGCATAGTTGGTTAGCAAAAGGACAATGCAAGACAATTACTAGCTCAATTCTCGAGCACTTGGTGAACTCAAGTCACGCAGTTCCACCAGGATCGTCTTTCAAGATTATCTACAAGATGAGGCCAAATGGTACAAAGGGCGTCAGGTTTCGGCTTTTGTGTATGGCGGAGGCGTTGACAATTCGTCAATACAACCCCGAACTCTGTATACAGAAAAAGTTTGTCCAGTCTCTTATTCTACCTTGGTCGTTTACCTCTTCACTAGTCGTTCCCTGTAAAAAATTTTAATTTTTTAATTCTCAATTTTACTTCTAGTTTGATTTTGCTTTGTACATTTTCACGCCCTCTTCACACTTGTTAAATTGACACTAAACTTCTTTTATTCTCACTCAATAGCAATTTTAACTTTATCAAATTTCTTTGTGCCGTTGAGTACCACGTAATTTACAACTTTTAATTTTTACTTCTAAAGCCATTTCCGAGTAATTACATCAATTCTGTCACCCACTCCCCACCATATTACTTAATAATAAACTACTATACATTTTTGGTAAATATAAATACGACTGTATAGCCTCTGAAGATGATTTCGTCGATAAAGAAAATTCTCTTCACTGAATTTTGTCTTTCATTTTCTTCATGACTCAATCAATGGATATGTTCGGTGATTTGAAGCAGGATATCATATAAGAAACGAAAAATCCAAGAGTAAATGACAAATATCTATCCTCTATTATTTCAAAGTAAAGTTTGATATTGTACGTAGAAGTCAGACAACAGAAAAATCCATCCTTATGTAGTGATAATCTCATACCTAAGCAACATTTCTTAGTAATTTAAAGCAATTAGTTCCCGTTAGGAATTTCGACAACACAATAAGAAGACGTAGTTTATCTGAAACGTGTGATGTATTTGCACAACACACTCCGGACATTCTGATCACACACACACGTACTTGTCATACACAGTTTTTATAGAAGGCATGCATAATTACAATACATGTCAGATTGTGTACAGGTCAAGGTCACAAATAATGGGTAAGGAGACGCAAAGGTGTGGGTAAGAAAGAGAAAAAAGAGAAAAAACAAAGCAAAGAAGGGGTTGAAAATATTATGAAGTAAGTTGGACCTTGGTTCTAAATTGGATTACCAAGGCAGGTTTAAAGTGATAACAAATAACTGTTGGACACATAAGACAGGCAGGTTTAAGTCTTTTTATGGCTAAGGCTTCAACGAATTTAAGTATGTGACCCAACCTTGTTTTATATATGGGCTTAAAGGCATTGTTGAAATCTACTTTATGACCCGTCTCTATAATGTGCTTCGCTATAGATGATCATTTGTGTTTGGCTATTTTAGTTGTTGTTTCAGCCACTTTAGAATATGTTCTGTAGCCCTAACTTGCAGAGACTGATGGGTCCTCCCTATGTACGTGTCTCCACACACACATGTAAATTGATAAACACAATGGGATGTGACACTATCGTTCGGATAATATTGCCCTGTAAACCCTCACATTATCCGAATGATAGTGTCACATCCCTATGGGTCTTTGCAGGTTAGGGCTACAGAACACATTCCAAAATGGCTGCAACAACAAATGAAATCACCGGGCACAATTGATCCCGGAAATAGATGTCCAACATCATCTATAGCCAAGCATATTATAGAGACGGGTCATAAGGTTGATTTCAACAGTGCCTTTAAGCCGATATATAAAACGAGGTTGGGCCACATACTTAAATTCGTTGAAGCCTTAGCCATAAAAAGACTTAAACCTGTCTGTCTTATGTGTCCAAAAATTATTTGTTATTACTTTAAACCTGCCTTGGTAATCCAATTTAGAATCAAGGACCAATTTACTTCATAATATTTTCAACCCCTTCTTTGCTTTGTTTTTTCTCTCCCTTTTCTCTTTCTTACCCACACCTTTGTGTCATCTCTCTACCCATTATTTGTGACCTTGACCTGTACACAATCTGACCTGTATTGTAATTATTCATGCCTTCTTGTCTTCTGTAAAACTGTGTATGACAAGTACGTGTGTGTGTGATCAGAATGTCCGAAATGTGTTGCACAAATACATTGCACACGTTTCAGATAAACTACGTCTTCTTATTGTGTTGTCAAAATTTTTTAGTAAACTGCAAAAGTAATCTTAAGAGAATTCGTGTTGTTAGAATTCATATACCGGGCGATGAGTTATAATTATTGTAAAATGGCTGACAGTAGCGTCAAGTTGCTGAAGTAGATGAAGTGGGGTTCGAAGCCGAGAGTCACTGGTTGAAATTCAAATGCTTAAGTCAACCAGTCTCATCTATATCATGTTTACTTCCATATTATATTCAATAATGAAAGCTGATACTCAGTCAATAATACATAAAATTGTTTTAATGCATCATGAATATTGAACATTGAAGTGTTTGTTTACCTTAACAACGATTAGACTAATATGCATGTGTATTGATTCCGTAGAAGATGATAATAACAATCCTATTTCTATATACATACAACACACACAAAACACAACTAACCTTATAAATGTATTCAATTCACTTAACTTTCTCATCATTTCTGGATGCAAGGGGCCGTATGTATGTCCACAATGATCTATGCCTAACATATGCCCAATAAGAATATCCCAGTGTATGTGTTTGCCTTGTTGCTGCTGTTCTTGTTCTTGTTGAAGATGACGATGTTGAACATTACTTGTAATAGAATCATCTTGACGAATATAGCTATCATTGGCATCAAGAGCTTGAAGGATGTAATTTTCAACACCAATATCAACAGTATCTAAATCTTTGACATTGAATGATGGATAAGCTTTATAATGACTGAAACTGTAAATTATAAGAATAAAATCAAACGAAATCATCAATTATCCTAGTGATTAGAATCAGGAATAACAACAACAACAAGAAAGTATCGATTTTGTAGGAATTTTGTTTGATTGGATGGAGGATTTCATCATGAGCTGACATCAGTTAGAGAACCATTGGAAAACCAGCAACTGGGAGTACTGGACAACAGTTTCGTCCTAGTTTGGGACGTACTGATGAAGATTATAGAGATATTTCCTGACCAGTGGGGTACAGCAGGTCGGATGTGAGGACAAATACTTGCCAGCGATGACATTGGCTAGTGCCAGTCGAGCTATGTCATGAATTGGACTGGCCATTGGATCGGGTCCCAGTGGCTGATGAATGGTCTACGAGCTAGCTCACCTTGTAACATGGAGGTCCTGGTTTCAAACCCTGTTGGTGGATGAGTAATGATGACGAGTCCAAGCTGGGACGAAACCGCTGTTAAGTACTCCCATATGGTTTTTCAATGGTTCTCTAACCGATGTCAGCTGCTGATGAAATCCTGCATTTCCTTTCTGTTGTGCACAGTGGTTAGATAAATCACTGTACTATGCTGCTGCAATAACTCCTTCATATTTAGTTATACTGTCAAGGTCTTAGGCCAAATTAGGTTAGCTATACACTGTATACTAACATTCACCTTATTTTAGAAAGATTTGTAAGGAAATCCAGTGTTAATGGTCTGCCTCTATCTAAACTGTTTCATAACATAGTAGAATAATTCTGTTAGAGTACAAGATGAAGAAAGCTTGTTTACTACCAAATTTTGTCTGATGTAATCTGCCAGTAAGATATGGTGTTCGTGCTATTGCTTTACCCGCCTTATTTGACTAGAATAGTATGCGCCCTCCCCCCACCCCACACCCGCCATGCTTGTACTCATACGGTTATCAATCGTAACAGTGTAAGTTATGACGAAAATTTCAGACAATTCAGACTTTATCTATGAAACTTACCATCAGCCATCGCTTCAAACACTAGAAGTTCAATCACAGTCATTGACCAGCTAACGAGTATAAAGTGAATGCTGCTGAATACTACAATAAGTCAAGCAAGTGAATTCCGTAAAATTAGACTGCCAAACTGAAAACACGACACCCAATCGATGAATTCTTTGACTGTTGACTGGAGCCATGTGGGGAGGCGTAAACTGCCACGGTGGGATCTTAGAGACGCTAAGAACCAATAGCTAGACTGTCTGTCTTTTCAACATAGAACTTTGCACCGATGTGCAGCAGTTCAAGTCGCCACACTCTCTCCTTGTAGCACACAAAGCAAGAGAAGAAAGTAGAAGAAATGCAAAATAGAGACAGTAGACAGGGATATGAGGTAAGAAGAATAGCAATATCGAAGAACAATATAGTTTCATTGAGAACGATTTTGAGCCATATCACCAACTGTCTCCAGCCTCATTGGTGTTTACCATCCCGAGGACCCCAACCAGTCAGGAAGTCTACACCTCCCTACGTGAATGGCTTAAACTAACTGTTGTGGATTCAATTCATTGACTGATGAAGCCATGTTTTGGTTTCACCACCACTAGCTAGCTCTTTTCCAACCTGATCCCTCATATGTCAGCTAACATTGCCCGTTGGCGAGGGAGGCGATGGCTAGGCATACGTAAAACACATCCTAATTACATCAATCTATGTAACTTCACAGCCTGGTAGACTGATGTCTCCCCCCTCACCTACCTAGCACTCGACAGCCTAACCTCAATATTACTCACCCTATTATACCAGTTTACATGAGAGATAGAACGCAGGCACCTATGATGAAAGACAGATAGCCAGGCTTTTCATGTCTTCCACTCTCAATGGCCAGGTCTCATAGCCAGCCATAAAGGAGGACGGAGCGAAGTGCTGCTGAGCAGTACACCCGCCCTTTGGTCGAAGCTAGAAGCTGTTGGTGACTTCCTGAGTTCTCCGAGATTCCCTAAATCTTCATTGTTATCCGTGTAGTTATTCTTCCTCAAGTACACTTCCACTTACTGTGATTTCCTTTCCGTCTAACTTAATGTGTGCTTTATGATGTATGAGAATTTGAACTACCGCACTTCTCTGCAAAGTTCTACATTGAAAATTCAGTTCATTTCAGCTGGTATTTTATCAGCACAAAGTGCACAAACTTCAGTGATTTTAGAAATATAAATAACACCATATCTGAGGATGCGAAAAGAACTATAAACACATTTTCTCACTTAAAAATACATATTATACTTTGATTGGACACTAGGGTAGTAACTAATGCCATGCGTCTAGTCCTTTGTTTGGTGCAGACTAAATTCTATCAGTCAAGTCTGCGTCAAATGAAGGCCTGGACACATGACATCAGTTCCTACCCTAGTGTCCAATCGAAGTACCCATTACAGTCCTACAAGAGGTCAATCGCAAGCTTGAATAGCTAGGTGATAACGTCACTGACTGGTGAACTCGATTATGCATCAGACTGTAGGGGGCGAGAAGACAGGAATAAGCTGTACCAATAATAAGACTCTAGAAGACCTGGATTTCATGCGTGGATGATTTATGTTTAATGTCATACAAACTCGAAGACTTACAGGCAGGCGAAAACCAACAAACTGGCTCATACCTAACCATTGCCTCCCCCGATGGGCATTACTAGCTGATATAGGTGCAGATTGGAAAAAAGTAAGTGGTGGCCAAACAAATACATGGCCTCATCAATCCATGAAATCCTTGACAGTTAAACTGAGTCAGGTAGGGAGATGCAGACTTCTGGGTTGGGGCCCGCCCTCGGGACTATAAGAATCAATGGCTGGAGACAATAGGTGACATGGCTCAAAATCGTTGTCAATGGCTAGCGCAGATGTATCCAGTCTCTGTAATCTTTCATATTCTTTTCCGCCATTACTCATTCTGTTTCACTCTTATGCTTGTCAAAACTCTATTGATTCTCTTCACTCATCTTCGTGTCTACCTTTGTGTGCTATTTGGAACGTGGTAACTGGAACTGCTGCACTTCGGTGCCAAGTTCTATGTCGAATCCAAACAGAACAAACTGGCTGAAGAGGCCGGCAGCCAAAACAGGACTCCAGGTGAACATAGAGAAAATGGAGGTGATGAAGATAACCAACCAGCCAACAGCAACAACAACAACCACCACCAATCAACATCAACGACAGAGATTTATCAGAGGTTACTTCCTTCATTAGTCCTACGAAGCATTGTTTCCAACACAGATGGAGCGGATGACGATTTCAAAGCCAGCCAGAATCGAAATGGGCAACATACGCCTTCATCAACCTGAAAACAGTTTGGAAAACTTCTACACTAACTCAGCATAAAGAACAAGATTCGAATTTCCAACACCAAAGTCAAGGCAGTCAGTTCTTCTACACGGGTCAGAAACTTGGCTAGCGCGTCACGGAAAGGATTTCTAGAAAGTTACAGACTTTTATCAACAGCTGACACCTTTGCCGGCTCCATACTGAAGATCAAATGGCTGGTCAGAAAGAATTAGCACCAAGAAACTCTGACTGGGAACAATCCAACCAAGAGCCGATTTGCTCAACAAATATGTAGGAGAGAATGGGGATGGATCGGGCATACGCCACTGAAGAGACCGTTGAATGACATCACGTGCAATGTAGGCCATCGCTCGAGTGCGATCCTAATAGGAAACGACGAGTTGGGCGTCACTGCAAGGGTGACATGGAGGAGATCATGTGAGGAGGAGATGAGAGACTATGGGCAATCGTTAGGCCAGATGGAGATGTGTTGTTGAAGCCCTGTGTTCCACTCGCAACCCAAGGGAACAATAATAATAATAATAACGTCACTGACTGCAGCATTGGATGACACAGATTCGAATCTCAGAAGGGATATGGATCACTTCAAGACTGCAGATAAGCTTTGCTGAAGAGTGCTAGCAAGCACGAAACCTAGGTCCAAGGCTTCCTGCCGACGGCTTCCAACCATCTAATATACATTATATATCAGAGTTACATCTAATTATACACTCAACTGCTAATATTATTAGTAGCATAAGGGAAAATTTGTCACTAATACACAATTTAATTAATTAACATACCAATCAGGAAACAATTCAATCCATGTTTCATCCCCAACGAAGAGAATTTGTTTACCAGCTAACTTCCATTGTTTCAATAAATTATCTTCAATAACTTTACTTCCACCAAAATTTGATCCAGCATCTATAAATGTTGGCATACTGCCGGTCATTAGTGCTTTTAACCGTTGCAGTGTGGTTGTCGGTGGATCCGCAATAAACTGACCAGTAAAATAAGCCTTAGACATAGTTTCAAGCAGTGAATAATAAGGTTTTGGGAAATTTGTTGATAAATATTTATGTATTAAACTAGTATTATTGTATTATTATCCTCACGAATGAATTCATAAGCCAATGCATCGACTAGTAATAGAATAAGTCGACTTTGTCTCCCAGTAGACTGAGGATAATGTATAGATAAGTCAGGTTGGACACCCGCGACATTATGAAGCTCAGCTCGATTCAGTAGAAATCCATGCAGAAATAAGTAAATACCAAAGAAGCCGACAAAGATTGAAGGCAATTTATGAAGAAATAATCCCTTTAAACGAGAATGCCTAGAATAACGATGATGATTGTTGTTGGTGTTAGGGGTGGTGGTGGTGTTGGTGAAGAGCTTCTCTTTCATTGTATCATTCGATTCACCGGAATCACAAGACCTAAGAATAGATGGAGAGAAAAAGAGAAAGAAAGTGACAACTTCCCTCGCAAAGATCATACAACATGAGAAAGAAGAATGAAATAAGCCGATGAATTTTCATAAATTATTTTTTATTCATAAACATATAAAATCATAGTGTTCAATTAACAAAATCAGTAAGAATTTTCTTTATTAAGAAAAAAACTAACAAATTCGTGTAACAAAATTGTAGATATTAGTAAGAAGAGATAAGGTTAGGTAGTGATTGATAATATCAAAATGCAAAAAGAAAATAAGTTTAACATTCTATATTTTAACATCCATGATAGACAGGCTCACGTTTCTCTTTGAACGCTGACATTCCCTCCTTCCGATCTTTAGTCGGTACAAGCACTCGATAGCATTGTCCTTCTACGCTTAATCCTGCTTCAAGTGACCCGACAGCTAGTCCTTCATTAACAGCTTTCTTCAACTGACGAACTGCGATTGGACCTTTTGTACACACCTGAGATGCATACTGAATAGATCGATATAAACTAGGCATATCAGACCACAGTGAAGGTACACTTTTCGGGTCGATAGCTGCATTTACAACACCAAAGTGTTCTGCTTCTTCAGCTGTGATTCTCGCTGCAGCATACATCAGTTCTTTTGCTTTAGCCTCGCCTATCAATCGTGGTAGACGTTGTGAACCCCCGGCACCAGGTAATAAAGCCCAGTGTGTTTCAATCAAGCCTAACTGACACTTGGGAAGAATTCCAGCATAACGAATATCACAGGCTAAAGCCAATTCTAAACCACCACCAAATGCTGCACCATCTATAGCCGCTATTGTAGGCATTGGTAATAAATAGATACGTTGGAATAGGGATCGAAGTCCTGCAACTAAACTTGGAGTATCTTTATCTGGAACTTCGGCTCTTTCAATTAAATCAGCACCAGCACAGAAGACACCTGGAACCTAAAAATGATTATGTGAATTTATGGTTAGTACATACATTGAACGGAAAAAAGTTGAATTAACATTTTAAACAAACCTAATGACCATCTATAGCTATTGTTTCTAAATCGACTGACTCATAATTTACTCGTGAACCTTAAGAATACACATATTTACCAATACTCTAAGTGAAATGAACGATTTATTTCAGTTAATGAGAACAGTAAGTTGACTGAGAGTAATTTTGGATATCTCGACAGAAAAAAACAACTATTGCATGCCACCGAACAGCAATAACTCAATGGTGTTAAACGGTTGGAGGCTATCGGCAGGAAGCCTGACCAGGACCTAGGTTTTGTACTAGTTGGCACTCACCAGTCAGCAAGTCAGGCGTATCTGCAACCTTGAAGGAATTCATGTCCCTTCTGAGATTGAAACCTGCGTCACCCAGTGTCCAATCAAAAGTATCCAATACAGTCAGCCTTACAGGAGGTCAATCGAGAACCTGAATAACCCAGTGGTAACGTCTGTAACTGTAGAACTGGGTGACGCAGGTTCGAATCTCAGAAGGGACATGAGTTCCTTCAAGACTACAGATACGCCTTGCTGACTGGTGAGTACCAACCATCAGAAAACCTAGGTTGAGAAAGGCTTCCTGCCGACTGCCTCCGACCATCTAACATCAACAATTCAAAGTGCATCATGATGGCGAGCCAACGTGACTGATAGAATTCAATCTGCACTACACAAAGGACTAGACACATCACACTAGTCACTAGTGTTCATTGAAAACTCAGTGGTTTAGGCAATTTACATTTTTACTAAGCGAACTAAACTCCATCGTCTAATCTTGGCGATTTCTAAGAAAATATTCCGTCTTACTTTCTACATCAAGAAGTTAAAATATTCTGGTATAACCGAACCCTTACTCCTACAATTCGTTAACAACTCTCGCATTCTGCCTATTATTCTCTATTGTTCCCCCTTAGTTTTTCTCGGGCTACTGAAGAAAGACTATAACATATTACGCAGGATGTTAAAGGTTGTCAGCAGGATAAGCAACGTGCCACTTAACCAGCTTGTTGATATTCTGGTCGACAGGCAGGCACATGGACTCATGTGAAAAATGGGCCAAATCCATTTTATCTAACTCACACCACCCTCTTCATTCACAACTCTCCCCTTGTATCTCATCAGGCAGGACCAGAAGCCTACATAGAAAAATATATGCTCGCACTAGCAAGTACAAAAACTCAACCATACCCTGCTTAGCTCATGTTCTGTGTGATAAAGAAAGCTTTAAAACAGTTAGTCCCTTTTATAAATTTTGATAGCATTATTAGAAGACGGAGATTATCTGAAAAATGTGATGTATTAGCGCTATATATTTCGAACAATCTGATCACACATTTACTTGTCAAGTCAATATATATGGAAAAGTTAAATTAAACAAGGTGACCAAAAAAAGAATTAAGAATAATTAACACAAACGTTTGGTAATCCAATCAAATAAGAAAGCATTAGGCGTGACACCTATAATTCATTAAATAGTCAGTAGTACAACTGGACCTCGTCTTTCCAACTCATATCATTTATAGGTGCAACATTCTCTTTTTTTCTTTTCCTTTTCTCTCTCTCTCTCTTCTTTTCCGTTATGTGCTACTTTGTTTCTTTTTTCCGCTTACGCCAGTAAATATGACAGCACCTACTTTTCTAACACCTTCAAACACTGTTCAGCTTTGGCTTTGCTACCGACATTTCAATATGTTGTTGTCATAATGAACTGAGATTTCCTTAATCTATGTAGAATTTTATTTATTGATAATGTACCAACTTACTTAACTTTACTTCGGCTATCTCCTACGGGAGGATGAGCCGGCTTCATGAACATCTCGAATCGTCGCTGCCCAGGCGCGGCGATCTGATGCAAGGTTTTGCGACAGAGTTATCCAATTCTTGTTCCACAGACGGAGTCCGTAGACGGTTTGTAGCCCCAGGCACTCCGTTTGTAAGAGAGTTCATGAAGTTTCATGGGAATTTGGTACGAGTGATGTCCCCAGAATCGCTCGGCCTTTTGTTTGAGAGTGCAGCTCTAGCCTTTACACAACCAAGTGTGACCTACAAGGCAGTAGGAGTGGAGTAGGGAGTCCACTATCCATTGGCAGCCGGTGACCTAAGTTCGGTTCATACGCCTTTTTGAATGGGGCCAGACATCCAGGATATCCAACAAGCCCTTTGTCCATACGTCTGCCGGTGAGCTCCAGTGAGCTTCATACGCCAGTCGTTGGAGGTTTGGAATCAGGGTTTAGCCATCTCCCTTAGACTGTCATCCAATGGACAGTCAACCCGGTGAAGAGCGCCGGGCATCCGCTTTCGCCCTCTCACTTTGGTGAAAAACACCTCCGCCACGTGAAGGCAGTGAGTAGGACTTCCTCAGGAGAGGCTATATAAGACGCCCGGTCATATGGGAGCATTTCAAGAGGTGTGCGGAGGGGTGGCCAACCCGCAGCGCAAGGCACCCACCCCCGACCATCCTGAGGCTTTGGAGGCAATGTACCAACTGGATGCAATACTGTAGTACAAATGCTGAGAATTCCATTCTGTATCACAAGTACTGTTTTGGAATAAAGCAAATTATTATTATTATCTACCACTAAAATCCTTACGAACAGCCTTTATTTCCACATATAAATAACTCTTTAGGCTAAATATATTACCAATAAGCAGGTATACACTTTTACGTAATTACATGTCTACTTACTAGACTGCAGACAATAGCAACCTTTGATTTACTGTCCATTTCTAGCTCTTTAACAGCCTCTGACAAAGAAGAAACAAAAGATTTGCTAAGGGCATTCTTTTTGGCTTGATAATTCATTGCAAGAAAAGCCACACCGTCTTTGGCTGTGAAATCAACAATCACATCTTTATTGGATGATCGTAATTTGTCAATAGCTGAACGCTCAACAGCCAAGGAGTAATTGCAATGAACAAGTTTCGGTAATATCCTGAGACATCTATGGAAAAGCCTTTGGAGAAAAACAAAAAAGAAGAAAATATTGCAAATTTTACAGAAATGAAGACTGAGTAATGTGGGCAAAAGAGTACCACTGAAACCAACACTACCTCATTTGGGTTGTAAAAAGTCATAGGTGGGTGAGTAATGTGTTAAACAGCAGTAACTGATTTTGTAAATAGGTGATAAAGTTATGGTGCATTTCTTCTAGCTAATAAATAAATTACGGTTCTGAGCCTTTCTTTACCAACCAAATAGTGATGCTTTTTCCCAAGCAGACAGAAAATATCCACGTCCAGTGAATATATATACATATATTTCATTGTATAACAAACAATACTGAACACACCATTTCCTTTAGGACTTGAAAGAAATAGTACTGCATACCTATTATTCTAGATGATAACAGTTTCATTGGTGAATACAAAACATACTAGGCTGGAATGAAAAATTTCTAATCACTTACACATCTTGAAAGACCTACACACACCTTTAGGAATATTCACAACACAACAAGGAGAGCGGAACTTACATTATTAAAAACCACTGTAAAATGTAAGTAGAAACGTAGTATATATAGGCGGGGAACGCCCAGACAATGTTTATTCTGCAAACAGAAAGCGGAGTACCGGAACCCAATGAAAGTATAACAGAAAGGAAAAAAATTTACTTGTAATTATATAAACTTCAACAAAAGCTATGTAATACTATCAAATCCTTGATTGACAGTATTTTGTGAGGAGTTAATACACAAGCCCATAGTAAAAACGTGCAAATATTTAGATATCTGACTGGTTTCAACACAGAACTTTGCACAGATGTGCAGCAGTTCGAGTTGCAACACTCCCTCCATGTAGCACACAAAGCAAGAAAAGAGAGTAAAGAGATTCAAAACAGAGATAATAAACAGAGGTGTGAGGGGAAGAGAATAGTAATGTGGACGAACACTAGAGATCTATTGGATGTGATAAATCACTAAGAGTGAATGCGTATGTCCCAGCCACGGAGAACGATTTTGAGCCATATCACCAACTGTCTCTAGCCATTGATTTTTACCATCCCGAGGACCCCAACCAGTCAGGAAGCCTGCACCTCCCTACGTGACTGGCTGGCTTAAACTAACTGTTACAGATTTCACTGACTGATGAAGCCATGTTTTAGTTTCACCACCACTAGCTAGCTCTTTACCAACCTGATCCATCCTATGTCAGCTAACATTTCCCTGCAGTTGAGGAAGGCGATGGCTAGGCAAGCGTAACACAGGTCCTAACCATCCCAATAGGTGTAACTTCACAGCCTGGTCGATTGATTTCTTCTCCCACCTACCTAGCACTCAACGCCTAACCTCAATATTGCTCACCTTATTATACCACTCTACACGGAAGATAGAACGCAGATACCTATGATCAAAGACAGCTAGCCAGCTTTTTTGTATCTTCCACTATCAATGGCCATGTCTCACAATCATAAACGAGTACAGAGCGAACTGCCGAGCAGTACACACGCACTTTGTTCGAATGGCGGATATCACGTCTACGCCAGAGGTGGTGTAAATTAAGATCTAATATTTCAGTAGTCTTACAGGAAGAAATATAACATGCATATATAGAGGAGTGATGACTTTGCAGAGATACACAGCTTCTGCTGATGGAAGTGGAGTGATTACATGTAGTTAACGTCACTCGGCTATATTCACAGGCAACTACAGATAATAGACACCATATTCCAGGTGCAATCGCAACCACTCAGATCACTGACCTTCCATCAAAATAAATGTGTTTAGAAACGGGTTTATTCTTTCAAATAATAATACCTATGAGGAAATGGGGAGTACTTGTGCCGACACACACAGTAAACAAACACCCGACCCTGTTGGAACTCATTTAGCAAATCCAGAACAGAAGGCGTAATCTAATTTGACGTGTTACTAGCATCTGACTGATTGTCAAAGGTTATGTAATCTTCCAGTCTTCATATATGTATATACCCAATCGAACAAAAATGGTAACAGGTGAATAATGGGCATATTAAGGGCATGGCCAACAACAGAGAAATCAGGCACATTATGGTTATATGACGTAATTTTTCTTATTTCGACCGTTGAATAAACAAAATTTAACAAATATTTTCCCACTATTGGGCCAATATTTTCCCTACATAACCATTATTTAAGAAATATTTTACCATCGTGTCCATTATTTTTGCCGGATTTGCCCAGTGGGTTACCATTCTTAACCTCTGCCGGAAATTGTGTCCATTTTAACCATTTTTCACCCATTTTGGTTCGACTAGGTATAGAAAAATCTGTTTATATTACTAATTATTGAAATGTTACACTGGGTAAACCTTGATATCATTATATCTCATCAAATCATGGTTGTAATTTTAGCGCTAAATCCTCAAAGTACAGTTTCATCATTAGACAACATACGCTTTGCGGAGAATGTCAACAAAACTCGAAAGTCACTATTTGTAACGCACAATCCAAGTGTTGCGGTCGAGTTGGTGACCCCAAGTGCAATATTCAATATTCATATTTTTGCAGATTCAAGTCGTTCACTGGAGACAGAGGGCCTTCAACCTTTACTAAACTACTTTTATTGAGTATCTTTTCTCTCGTGAACCTCTTGTGAGCAGTACAGTGGTAGCTGAAAAACTTCAAGTCGGTTCCAAGAGTTATTTACCAGGTGAAAGAACGAGCGTCTTTATTGCATATCCCCGTTAACTGAAGCGTCGTAGTTCGTCGCTGTGGTGATTTGGCGACAAGTGATGTTTTTTATATGGCTTTCAAATGAAATTTTGCATTGAAAAACGTTTCCGACGGCGGCATACTGTAATTGAATTGCGTTGCATTTTCCGCACTTGTATCAAGAAATGTTGCTAGATACTGGTATTTGCGCACTGTGATGGATTAAATAAGTAGGGAGTTCAAAATTTAGAAATACATTTTTGTATTTTCATGAAACCATGCTAGTATACATGGCTTATTTGATGAAACGCTATTGTCTTAATTGGTTTGGTAGTTGTTGGCATTCATAGCACAATTTCAACATTAATTTTAGTTTTCACTTACTCATTACAGTCTGCTTCTTATTTTAGGACACAAAGTATCGGCACCATGAGCACAGTGTGCAGCATTGTTGTGAACGTGTTTTTCAAATGGCCTTTATTTTGAGGAAGACTAAATTGCTTTAAAATTCTGATTTTGCAAACATAACTTAGGTTCATACGTGAAGGAATGTTACTATCACAGCTGGAATAACGATAAATTGTTCAGAAGATAAGGAAAGCCTTATTTCTCACCTTATTCGCATAAATACTCTTGCACATCGAGTTACACTGTAATCCCAGATAAAGTGAAGGATTATGAATGCCTTGCTACCCTCTTCAGCGTAAGATAATTAATAACACAAGAATTACTGAATGAGACTCTATATTAGGTTCCATAACGACGAATAGAAGTTTATCTTCTTCAGTGTTATGAGTTAACTTGTGAACTGTGTAGGCCTCTATAGTAATACACTTGGCTTGGAAACTTCATAGTGAAATAAATAGTGTATATGTTTTACTAAATCTTATGGACTTACTGTAGAGATATGACGTTTGTCAAGTGGTCATTTAACAGTTGCTGAATGTTGCCATCAAGCTAAAATTATAAGTTGTAATTCCAAGAAATGCTGTCATTTATACTGGCAGCAGTTTGAAGTTTATTGAGTTTACACAACCAAAATATCCATTTCTCACTTTCTTGAGGGAACATTAACTAGGTTTTTTGAAAAATAGTACATCACTTTGTAAACTTCATGAAATCTATAGATCTCATTCTGTTCACTTAATGCTGAAACTAAACTATGAGGGTACTCATATTTCCAAGGAGGATGTAATACAACGCCCATTCCTGCAACTGTCGTCCTTATTTTGGTTGAATTTCATCATACATGTATTATTAGAATTGTCTGTCATTGACTTTAGGGACTTGCCAGGGAACAGCCTCATCAACTTAGAGTATGCTGATGATATTGTCCACCTAGGTTGTGAGAAGTGGTCTTTGAAGCTGCGAGATATGAAAAGATTACTGGTGTTTGGTTATGGGTGTATTTGTCCTATCCCCTGTGTTAAGTAGTATAATATGGTAAGTAATATTTGGTTTAGGCGTATGGTGTTGAGTAAGGATTTGACTCCAAATCCCTGTTAATGGCACAGATGCATTCACTTTGTGTAAGCTCCCATAGCTAACCAATACTAATGTTTTTTCTTCGTCACTATTCGTTCTCCCTCACTTTTATGCTTTTTATTATTATTGTTTCCTTTAATTCCTAGAGGAACATAGGGCTTCAGCCACGCACGTCTCCATTGCGTTCGGTTCTCTGCTAGAGTCTTCACCTGGCTCCAAGTCTGCCCACACGCTTTCCTCTTCTCCTCTTCACATGACCTCCTCCAAGTCACCCTTGCACTGACGACCAACTCGCCGCTTCCCTTTCGGGTTCCACTCGAGCAATGGCTTGTCTAGTGATGTCACTTGATGGTTTCCTCAGAGTATGGCCAGCCAATCCATCTCCATTTCTTCCTGCCTATTTGTTTCACAATCGGTTCCTGGTTGTTTCGCTCATTGCCAGAGATCTCTGTTGCTGATCTTTTCTGGCCGGCCATCTGATCTTGTGTGATATTGAGCGACTACAACTGTTAATGAAGGTCTGTAGTTTGTTTGAGATGCTCTTTATGACGCGCAGTGCAAGTCTCTGATCCGTATCGTAAATAGCACTGACTTCACATTGGAGTTGAAAATCCGGATCTTATTTTTGATGCTGAGTGCTGTTGACCTTCACACAGACTTGAGAGTAGTAAAAGCTTGTCTTGCTTTTCCATACATATGTTTTTGTAGATCTCGGTACCAGATATTCCAGTAACCCAATGATTTCTGAACAAACTGATTACATAGACTTAATACATGTAGGCTCCTAGGTCGCACTATTCGCAGTTTCTTTTGTTTTTAAACAAGGGTTTTATTATACAAAATCTCCATTTGACCTATTTAAAAATATTTCCGTTTATTCTTCGTGGACACCGGCTGAATGACATGCTGAAATTGGAAGGACTAGTATGACACTATACTTTAAGGGCTCTTGAGTGAGAATGCTATCTTGACTATACTGAGAGTTGCAACACACTGAAAATAGGACTACTCTGGAAATGGTGACTTAAGCTAAAACTCATTTTCTACTACAAGTTCTCCTCCGGGCCAGTGACTAAGCCTACTTCTGTCATCAGTTGCAATATTCGAAATCATAACAACCTAGCTGTCCAACCTATGTGAGGGTTGACTTCTTAAATAAGGTTTCACTTATTCGGAACATACTACCAGCCAATGCGCGTAAGGTAAACACACTACTGGCATTCTTCCCCTCAGTCACCAGACTCTCCAAAGAGGACGCTGCTCTCCTACATCTGACTCCCACACCATTTTCACTCGACACAGATGTACCTGGTCCATTAAATAATAATAATATATTCTCATTTTTTACATGAGGGACGCCAGTTTACAGGCATCATCAATATGATAAATTACATATACGATTAGTAAGCATATTTAATAATAGTAATTTAATAAAATACATTTTTTCCTACCTGTGTAGGACACACCAATTGTACATGCATGGATAAGTATTATTTAAATTACATAAATTTGGTTCATGGTAAAATTATAAGGTCGCAGTCATTTTGTCTATGGGAGCAATATGATAACTAGTCATTCAATGGAGCACATCAAGAAATATAGAAATATTGTCTTCGCATTAACAAAAAAACCCAAGTATGTTTTGAATGGATTACAAATACTTGGGAAAAAAATAAAGCTTGAAGTAATTCCTCCATATAACTTTGGTGTGTACGGCATCGAATCTTATCCTTGATTTATATCCAAATTTGATAATAATTTAAAATAAGTAATACACTTGTATACTTTTGTCAGCATTTTCATCGTAACATCACAGGTGAATTGTACTCAGTAGAGACTAATAATAATGACAGTTTATATTCTTTTATAAACGGGTGTTTTCAAGAAATGCAAGCTATTTTTGCAGACACGATCAGTTATGTTGTAAGTTACAATCGTGAAGTATTATAAATCAATACTTTTTTATTGGTATAAAGGTATATTTCACAACTGTAATCCAGGTTGCGTCGTTGGTGAAGGCAATGCGCACTTCACGAGAGAATTGTAAGATATGGGACCAATAATGTTTGCAGATCATCTGTCATTGTAAATGGGCAAATATCTACATTCTTCATTCTCATTCAAAAAGTCAAATGGAAGCTGAAATGGTGAGGGACAAAAGAAGACAAACAACAACAACGCAAAAGAAAGCAAGTGGAGTCCTTGAGGAGTGATTAATATGTATATATACATTTATATTCTGTTTAGTAATTATAGTTATTTTGGTGCACTAACTAACTACTCCCGTGATGCTAACTTTTATATTGTGTGAACTAATATTATTGTCTTGTGTAAAAATGTCTATCATGTACTTCCAATAATATAAAAATTCATAATTGTAGTTTGTTGTAACTACACGTTTAGTGAACTTAAAATATCTGCTGGTCGAAAAGGTGGGTGTAGGATTCGGACGCAGAAGTGCACTGTCATCTTTGAGCAGTCTGGTGACTGAGGGGATGAACACTGGGAATGTGTTTGCATCGCGCACATCAGCTGGTAGTCTATTCCAAATGACTGAAAACTTATTTAAGAAGAAGTTGTACCGCATGTAAGTCTGACAATGCTCTATAGCAGCTAGGTTGTGATGATTTCTAAGATTGTAACTGATGACAGCGGTAGGTTTAATTATTGGCTCGGAGGAGTGCACGAGCAGATTAGTTAGCTTGTAGTAAAAAATTAGGTTTAGCTTAAGACGTCTTTTCCAGAGTGGTATAAGTAACAACATATTTAATTAATTAATGTTACTTTATTGGAATAACATGCTAACATTTCTAGCCTGGGCATTAAAATCGGATATTACATGTAATATATAATAGAACTGGTTGGTGTGTCAGTGGAAATCAAGGTTACTGCCCAAAGTGAATGTATGCATATTTGCTTATCGCCCCTTGTGGACCCCTAATGTTTCTTTCAATTCTGCTGTCTTTTGTCTCCCTTTCCCTCGTTTTGGCTCGTAGTTGATCTTCTGGATGACAGTGAAGAATGTAGTTATTTGGAGACTTACAAGAAAAATCAGAAAAGATCTGAAAACCTTACTGACTCCAAATTCTATAGGTGCTTCACAAAATCCGCGTGTCTTCTCCTGTAATGCGCACTTGATGACAGCTGTGGAATATATTATTTAGGTTGGTGGTCACTACCTACACAGGGCTAGTAAATCTGGAAAACTACAAAATATTGAAGATATGCTTGGGTCTGCACTTCGAATCTCATCGGCACACATGATAGCAATTTTCAGCCCCCGCATACTTCATTTGTCATTTTATGTGGACTTTTTGACATAATTTCGGTTCTCAACTGCGTGGAAACTGAAAACAGCCTGCTGCTCATTATTGGTGTACATTCAACTGGACACAGTTGTGGTGAGCTGCTGGCAGTTAAGCACGGAAGGAGTGTGACCGCACCAATGACCCTGAAACTGCTAATCATATGAAGAAAATCGATATCGACAGATTTTGATTGCCTGTTGATTGGGTGGCCTCCTATTGCTCTGAAATATATGTCAAAGCGGGAAGTTTTTATTTTCACACTGATAGCTACAGGCAGTCAGATTATCGAGTATAATGGCGTGTGAATTTCTATGGTTTGTGAGTCACATACCATTTGGATGTATTAGTGGTCTTAAAGGCGAACTGAGACACATAAGAATTTTTACCAGGTGAATACAATTCAACTACAATTTTTAAACATATATTCTATGTCTTTGATTAGGATATACACATACTTTAATTGACACACATTTTATTTAAGTTGTCAGTCCAGTGACCTATGTGACTACTGCCTACTAGGTGAATAGAATTCAACTACAATTTACTAGGTCACCACTGTGGTATATTAGCGGTGAAGTATGTGTTATCATTCATTTGCCTAGAATCATTGTGTTTTGTTCGCTAAGCATTCTTAAGCCATTACGTGGTGGAGTCCCTCATATAAGTAAAGTGAGAATATATCATTATGAGATCCATTTCACTGTTATATGAGGGAAATGACTTCAAGCTTTATTTTTTGCCAAGTATTTGTAACCCATCCAACACATACTTGGGTTGTTTTGTTAATGCGAAGTCAGTATTTCTATATTTCTTAATGTGCTCCAATGAGTCACTAGTTAGCAGATTGCTCCCACAAACTGAAGACAAAAACAGCAACCATGTAATTTCACCATAAACCAAATTGATGCAATTTATGTATATAATTTATTTATGTGGTGTAACCTATGCAACTGGTGTGTCATACATAGGTAGGAATAGACATGTGTTTGATTATATTATTTTTATTGAATATGCCTAATAATCGTATATGTAATTTATCATATTGATGATGTCTGTAAACTGGCGTCCCTTGTGTACACAAAATGAGAATATGTTATTATTATTACAAAATACTTTTATTGTCTCTACTTCACGAAATGTGTTATATATTTTGTCCGGTATAACGAGTACACTCCAAACAATAATGTTATCTTGTCTATTTTTCACAAAGGTGCAATTTGAGCAAGTCTTTGATGAATTTATGAAGGTAATAGCTGAATTGTTCATTATTTTTTGGGAGGAATCAAACAGATCCTACCGGGTCGCTTCAAGTCGTAAAAGGACACATGAAGCCCTATGAAATATGAGCATGCGAAGTATGAATACACTTCTGGAGGTAAACGTGGTGCTAGAGGTACTGGCTTGAATAACAAAGAGTAAGTCGAGTGTGCATTTAAATTTTAAAATATTTTAGGTCCAAAAGTACTTCATGTGAGTCAACATTTATAGCGCAGTATACAGATGAAGGATAGAAGATAACGAAATACCAAACTGTGCATAACCATCCATACACAGAAAGTGTGATGTCTACCGTCGCATCCAGACGTTGGCTGTCATCAGCGGAAAAGACAGTTGTTCAAACGTTTATTGAAAGAAGCACTGATTTTCATGAATTAGTGGATTTCGCGCATGAGAGATTCAGCAAAGTTATGCTATGTGAAGATATTAGGAATATGCGAGCTAGGATAGATAAACGTAAGTCTTATCACAATAAATGTGACAGCAGAATGGAAATTGGTAGTTTACAAGACTTGCTTCATCGACTGAGGTAGTTAGCGTTATGCATGGCAGTGGAGGTTTCGGCTCAAAATTCACTTTCGCTCATAATGATAGATTAACCTCTGTCACAAGTAGTTGGAACTGATTGTACTCATAAAACGAATAAGATGAGGTAAGTGCAGTACAAGGTGTAATTTCTTCCTCAAATTTATTATAGACAACACCTATATAAGTTTGTTGTGACTGATGAATTTGGAAGAGAAACGACTGTTCTACTTGCAATTACTATGAGGGATAGGCTTACATATATCAAAGAGATCTTTGCAGACGTTTAAGTGACTTATGATTGATATATCCATTCACTATCGACTGTGCAACTGTACAGGTGAATGCTCTAAAAGAGGAATTCCCTAGATGTATGATTGTTTTATGTCTTTCCCGTGTATACCAGGCGTTTAGAAAGAAGGCTAGTTTCATTCTCGCTAATGAGCATAACCGAGACAGTTCTCAAATTAACGTGTTAAAAAGTGGTTGTATCGAATACAGCACATGTATGGTTACGACATGTAGATTCACAGTTAACAGTATATTGCAAAAGGTTTTGGAGTTACTTAAACCTCATAGATATGACAGATGCTGAAGCTGGTCCCTACATCAGAAGGTACTGGCTAAGAACTCGAAAATATTGGGCTGCATCGTGCAACCAGTCCACTGTCAGCATGAGGAACAACACTAACAACAGGATGGAGAATGATCACAGGTGGCCGAAAAGGTATTTGCGAAAAGGCAATCCACTGGAACTGACGCTATCCGAAATATGGAGGTGGCTTGACCACACAGCCATACGTAAATTACGTGAGGGCCAGTGGATGCTTTGTAAATATTACAATTACGATGTATGTTCCAAGATAATTTACGATTTTTCTTAGGTGCATACCCCGCTGAAGTCTGTATTAGGACTTCTCACGCCCTTTGCTGCGAAGAAAGTAGTTTTAGACTTGCAAAGGAGTACATTCTACTTCCGATCAGTATCCCCGACCTCATTTAATTACTCAGGAGGTATTCACACCTTCTTCGTAAACAGGAATGAGTTTAAATGCACATGCTGGACATACTGCGCATATAGTTTGCCATGTGCTCATGTCGTTGCGGCTTTCTTGCATTCATATCTGAACTGTGGTATGTTCCCTTTCCTTATGTACTACTCTTAGATATTCTGAGAAATGGTGAGAGGTGGACACGTCAATATAACACCACGGACAACATTCCAAATGCCTTCCTCTTAACACCGCAACCAAGCAGCGTGCTTCGGAATGCTTATGAACGGTTAAGAAGTCGCTTGCCAACCTGAACCAACGAAATCCCGATGCTGCACTGAGGGAAATACAAGAGTTCTCCAGGAGGTCGTATAGTTTACTATTAAATCAACCGCAGACAACATTACGAACACGATATGCCCCTGTAAATCGTTTACTTTTGTGAAAATGTTAGTATCATCTTTCTATTCCTGTATATATTCATAATATAAACATGTACGCCCAAATTGTTGTTACACTTCATTTCTATTCCCTTGCCTAACAGTTTTGTTATCCGAACGTTAGTAGTCCCCAGCATATCCTGACTGACTGTGACTAACAAGATCCACCACTTATATTGTCCCAACGCATAAATGGTTAACTAGGCTTCAATTAAATTGCATTTTGTGCTATGGGCGGTTTACTGTCGTAGCCTAGTATACGCGAACTAGCTCAATGATTGCAGGTTTACCATAATAGTCAATTATCAACTTAATAACTGTGAACTTCAGACTAAAAATAGGCTTTCAGAATTGTTCTGAATAAGGAATTTATTTCGACGAAGTTGCAGAAAGTCGATGTTAGCGAATGACCAAATTGAGAGACTTGTATTGGTCAAACAGAATTTGCACAAGTACAAATTAGGTCAATAACAAACGAAAATATTTCACCTTTACAGTGGGCGTTGTTCAGGATCTAGAGAAAACATTTCATTGGGAAATATAACCCTAAAATGCAGTTCCGGAATTCAAACAACGGTCGTTTGAACCAGTGGAGATACTCCAATGACAAACTGCAAGTTATTCGAGCATAATTCCTAATTGGAGAACCTGCTTGAAGTTCTGCCACACCTTTTCTACTATTATATCATTTTTGCATCTTAATCGGTATGGCCTACTCTGGTACGCTGCTTGATGTTCATTAAGTCGGTCTTTCACTTTAATCACCATTTTTTAACTTCGTCACCAAACTGTTATCTGTTTCCACTGTATTTACAACTTATTCGGAATACATGACAACAAGTATTTGAAAGTTCCAGGACATAAAGTTCAAATATAATGCAAGCCAACCAATCAAACAAGGTTAATATTTTACTGCACTGGCGGTAATTTGGAGAGACGGCCTTCACCCTAAAATGTATTTGTTGAGTCTTCATTTTTGAAGTGATTTCTTTATTTTTTAAACTTCGTGTTAGCATTGTGACAAAATCCCCCATAGTTCCTTGAAATAATTTAGCAGTAGTAGTAATTTGATGTATTACTCCATGCATTTGGTTGCAAACTGGTACAAATTGAACGTAATTACTCAGTTAACTGCCTGATATTCTGGGGGTAATGATTTGTGACTTCGTCCCTCTGTTTACTAGGGGTAGAGTTTCACATGCAAAACCGTTAAAGTAGGCTGTATAGTCAGTGGAAAAGCTGGTGCCAGGTTTTCCATTCTGGATAAATATAAAAGTAGACCGTTTCCTTCGTATAAATTTTAAATTACATAAGAACCAATATTGGAATTTCCATTGGAACTCTATATCCTATTCTAACTATCAAGGAACTCACTTGGATATGTTTTCATAACATTAGACTTCCGTATATTATCAGAGCATAATTAAATAAGAATGTAAAACAAAGTTAGCTAAAGATTGATGAATCAATTGTATTTACATTGTCGAGACAATGTTAATGAGCATTTCATTAGTTAATCAGATGATTATTATGTTAAAATGAATCATAGCAGTGTATGTATTACCAAACGGATCTCAATATCCTTTCTCGTAAACAGGGTAAGTCAGTACCGTTAAGTTTATGGATGACTAATAAAAATATAGGTCATAGTCGATTACCGAAAGGCTGCATGATTTGTGACTGCAGATTCAGACTCAGATAATTAGGGATAGGCTTTTTGCCTATTTTAATCCTTACATATATACATCTCTAGAGATTTGATTTCTGTTTAAAAGTGTTCACCTATGGAACTGATATTATTTGATAAGGTAAGGAGTTCCAGTCGTTATACACTGTTCGATAATATAAATTCTACATGTATTTTGTTCGTCCGCGGTTTGATGGGCTCGCAAGGGTATCCTAGGAGAGAAAAGGTCAAGAAGGCCAATGCCCAAATCATCCCTCAATATACGATATACTCAAATTAATTCACTTCTCATTCGGCAGGATAATGGGAAGAGATATATATGTCTCACCCTCTCCTCATAAGGGAAGTGTGAGATACCACTGACTAATTTGGTTCCTACCCTTTGTAATCTTTCCGATATGCGTACCTCCTTAAAGCATATCTAGCTGCTTGTGTACATTATTCTAAATGAGACATGCATTGCTGTGTAGAGCACTATGAATACATACTCATATGATCGTTTGAAAGCCCTTCGAGATCAGCATTCGGAAAGCCCTAGCTGCAACTGCTTTACAATATGCATTTGTTTTGAAGTCATGGCTAACATTAATTCCCAAGTCTTTTTGTCCCTTAACATCGGGTAACTCTGTGTCCCCCAGAGAGTACGACGTGTGATAAAGTTAATTTATCTTGATCACCTTTTAAGAATGATTTATCATCGTTATTATTTACAGTTTTTCAGATTTTAATATCCTCCCCAAATAATGACAAAGGTAAGGTAAGAATTTTCGACAGTTCTTTTACGTATAATAGGATTAACAAGGTGCGCAAAACAGTACCCAGTGTTGCTTCACTCAACACTTGTTTCCATCCCGACGGTACACCATTAACCCTTACCTTTTGTCTTCTAACCATTAAATAGTCCCTACTGGGTATAGGCATTGGTCTAATCCAAACCATTTTAGTTTACTGAGGAGACTTAAATGAAACACTTTATCGAATGCTCTACTAAGATCGACAAAAATGACGTCCAATGTTAGGTTTTTTCCCTGGCTTCTACCAAATTTCCCCTAGTTAAATCAGACAGGATCTTCCTGGTCGGAATCTTTGCTGTTCCTCCACCAGTAGGTCATATTTCTCCATATGAGATAATCACTTATCACTTATGATTGTTTCTAGTACCTTTGCTGCGGTATATGTCCAACTTACAGATTGTCCGTCTCCCTCTTTAAAAACGGGGATTATAACCGTATCCTTCGAGTTTCTAAGTAACCTAGCCTGAGTCAGAGACATGTTAAAAATCTCCCTAGATGTTAAGTATACTATATCCGCTAAGTTTTTCAGCCTTCTTTTCATCTGACTCGGCCAGCTTGCCTGTTTTGTCTATTAGTGACGGTATATCACTGCTTATTTTAGTCCTACGTTTAATATACGAGTACGGTCTTTTGGGATATGTAAACGGTCCAACACCCCGCTGTATTCTATGCGATTTTTATCAATCACATACTTGCAAAGGTTCTGAATTTCACGGTGGCTTATCCGAAACATCTCCTTCCCTGTTATATCAGACTGATTTCATCGATTTCTCAATAACCTTGTTTCACTACTAATCCATGGCGGTTTACGAGGTAGCTTCCGAGGGGTAGACCAAAATACGGTTTCATTAGTGCCGCTATCATGCGCTTCTGAAATCGTTGATCTAATTCTTATGTAATCCGTGATGTATAGAACAACCCCTCCTCCTTTCTGGTTGATTAATCTGTCTGCTCTAACACAGATATACCTTGGTACAAGTAAAGTCATATCCACACCCACTAACAACCATGTTTCAGTCATTGCTATAACATCAGGTTGTAGTCTTTCAGATAATACTTCTAATTCAAGAAGTTTATTCCTAGGACTACACGCGTTCATATAGCTCACTGATGCACCTGTGTTCATTCGACTCATGAACATGGGTCCTGGCAACAGGTTTCCAAGACCTCACCACCCCAAAAACCCAATATCCTTAGATCTTTTTCCAACTGAACCTTCAGTTCTGCTATGGTTTCCCTCTTTTTAATTCTGTCCTCTAACGACCAGTCAGGCCTTATTCCTAACTTTCTATCCTTGATCTGAAATGCGTTGGTGAGAATAATATTCTCTTTCACCTCATTTCCTATCACTATTTTCAATAGCTGTGAAAAACATTCTGTTGCATCATTATTTCGTTTTCTGATTCTGATAACGTTTCTTACATGAATTCCATTTGTTGTGTCGGAAAGTAGGTCACGAAAAATAGAGCCAACTATCTCGAGACCATGTTCATGGCAAACAATTGGATTCACTTCTGTCGATTTTGTCAAATTCCAAATAGTAACTCTGTAAGTCCACTCAAAAGGTTTCAAAACAGTATTCATGGCCTTAGAGACCTTATTAATAGATTCTACAGTTTTATATTTCCTGTAATTTTCTAAATTCTTAATTTTTAGTACTACCCATATGGAGTTAGTTTCCGTCACTGTGATCACATTGCAACCAGGAGCTATCCGTTCATTTGACACTCCACTACGCTTCGTCATAGTAGTTTCGCCAGTTGGTCATACGATGCTGGCACTATTTGTCTTCATGGATTTTGTGAGGTTTCTTACGTGTCTTGAGGCCACGCGCCTTTTTCGCGGCCATTATTTTAGGTTGGTATTCATATTATATATGTCCAAACCAAGTTCACTTTTAACAGTTTGAGAAAATTTGGGCATTGGGTTTATGATATTCATTATAATAAAGGTTTTTGTATTTCCCAATGAATGAAAAACAAAACGATATTGTTTTTACTGACGTTTCGCTATTTAATGCTAATAGCTTTATCAAAGTATTATTAAACCGGAATTTACAAAATCCACTGAGCATATATATAACAAAGAGTTAGGGGGTGAAAACATAGACATAAGTCAAGTTAAAGGGACATACTGAAAGTCAAAATAACAATGAAGATCACTTAACCAAATAACAAAGGTAATAGTACATCTGTTATGGTATCAAAACAAAGTTTACTAACTTGATTATCGTTCGTTAATCTGGGGTCATTTTTAGTTGTCAAGTTGGTCAATTGGTAAAGATAACAAAACCAAGTGTAGATTGTTGGATTTAATCAGTGTTTAAAATTATAAAGGTAGTGTGTGTTTACATAGTGAACTTGCATATCACATTCGTGTTGATTTTGTCACTTCATGGGGGAGGGAGGTGTTGTAACCAGGTCAGATTCTGTTTTAGTCCATCATTCCTATTCAGCTCAGACAATTTGGACTCCATTTGATACGAAGTACTTCTGATGATATCAGACGTTCTTTGTGATTTCTGAAGCTTTTCTGGATTATTTCAATATTGTCAAAATCAATTTTGTGACCTGATTCTATAGCATGTAGACCTATGGCTGATGACTTTTCAAGTTTTTCCAGTTCAACTGGATTTCTCGGTGGTCGAACAGATGCTCTACAATGTTCATTTCTTCTGATTTTGATTTCTCGAGATGTTTGTCCGATGTGTATCGCATCACATTCCAAGCATTTTATTTTATAGACACAATTAGATAGAGAATCTTTAGGGATCTGTTCTTTTATATGGACAAGGTTGTTTCGTAGTGTGTCCGAAGTTTTGAAGAAAACTCTAATGTCGAGCTGACTGAGTACTCTTCTGATATCATCTGATGTCTCTGCTCTATATGGAATGACGACTGTTGAGGTCCATGTTTTCGGAATGCGTTTTGGTATTCATATATCTAATTATCGTCCTCTTTTCTCAACTGTAACTTTATTTTCACTCATTATAGATGTAATCATGTATGGTAACCAAAAAGTGTCTCAATTCCAACCACCACCAAAAAGTATACATTTAAGATTAAACTCGTTAAAATAATGTTGAATCGGTATAACAAAAAGTGCTTTGGTTACTTAAACAATCAAATACCAAAATCACCGCCTCAAGGAACAATATATATGACAAGAAATCAATCTCTTCCTTTTGTACAACATTCAAAGCCTGATGTTATGCCTATCAGAAGGATAAAATCTACAAGTGATCAAATAACTATTGATCCGTATTCAGATGTCAATCCAGGCTTTGTACATCATACTATGGAAGAAGTATTAACCGAGTATATTATTGATACACTTGTAGACTGTTTCAAATATCAAAGCATTAGCACTCGCCAGTCACCTGTTATTGAACAAAATTCAATTCAATCACATAAAGTGTATCATGCAAATATAAAACAACCTAAAATTCATTCTATGCAGGGAAAACATTCTGAATTCCCCCAAGGTAAACCTGACCGCCTTGATTCAAATATCTCTACATATGAATCTTTATCTGCATCAAAGAATTTCACAGAGAAAAATTATTATCATAAAACTGGTTTCCTAGCAGCCAATCCGATGAAAACTTCATATAGTGAGAAAATCAGAAGTACCAAACATCCAATATCTCATGTAAAAAATCGTTATAATAAAGTTAATAACGATGTACATTCTGTACGTTTTTGTAGCCCAAAATCAGAGGAGGAATTGACCAACTCCAATATGGCATCATCACCAGTATATGCTGTTCCTCATATTGACGAAACTGTGCATTATCGTAAACACTCCAAAATTACATCTCAGGATATCTCTCAACGACAAAGACGACATGTTTCTAAGCCTCTAAGTACTTCCATCTACCAGAAAAAGAAGGAAAAGAGTAGTCATTCTGTTACTGATCGATTGTCACATATGCCGGTGACAAATTCAACTTCGAAACATAATACTTCCTCCTTATTAACATCAAATCATACAGCTGATAAAGGTACAGCTGTTTAAACTTATCCCCTAGTAAACAATTAGGCGTGTTGCTCGTCGAATTTCCGAACATCATCCTGCATAGTGGTTGGTTAAGTAAAGGACAAACAAAATCTATTCACATAGCGCTATTCTATCTCATCTTGTCGATACAGAACAACAAGATTGATGATGTTAACGAGGCAGCTTTCAAAGTCATTTACCGCGCATACCAACAAATCTTAATTTCGCCTTAAGAGTTCGATTACTAAACATTGTTGAGGCTGGCTGTTGGGATCCATATTAAGAAGCCTAATTTTTGCGTCCAAAAGAAGAAGTTAGTTCAGACATTGTCCTTACCCCACTGGCCATCTAGGTTTGAATGGTCCTGAATTTTTGTGGAATTTTCCTAATTTTAGTTGATATTCTATTTGCTATTATATTTGTATGCTTATTATAATTTAAGCATCTTTAATGAACTGTAATTCCATTGTGATCTTACTTTACAAATCGATATTATTTACACAAAAAACACCAATATTGTTATTGACTACTATTCTAGAATATTCTATGTATATAAACATATGCATATACAATTGTAGAGCCAGAAGAGGAAATTATCGAAAGGGGGGATATTCTTTGCTCAATTATTTTGTGTTTTATAGATGTCTGGTCTTTTTTTAAAAAAAAAAGTTTTATTGCTTTCGACAGTGTACTACTACTTACTAGCTGAACCATAGTGTTTTAGTGATAACCATAGTGGTGTTTGTTTTCTCCTTCTGGTCAGGTTATTAGTAAAATAATATTTTTCTATTTTGTTTTAAAGATTATTTTTATATTTGATGAGTTGTTATTGTATCATGTTCAGACTGTGATATATACATATCATCTATAACTTGTGTATCTCTTCGTCCACAATTAGAATAGTACTCAATTTTATTTTATTTTTTAAGATTATGTTTATAATTTTTAAGAGAATGTTTATGTAAATAACTATAAAATATTATTTATAAGTAAGTTGCTTCTTCTTCTTGAGTTGTGACAGGATTTGAACCTGGTGACTTGACTATCAGCTAAGAGGTCTACTGAGTGAACCGTAAGGTTTTTAGATAGATAGAGTTGAAGGCAATCGTCAGGTAGCCTTGGACACCTAGATTTCGTGTGTTTGTTAGCACTCGTCAGCAAGATGCATCTGTAATCTTGAAGGAACTCGTGTCCCTTTTGAGATTGGGACTCTGGTCACCACCACCCAGTGATGATGCAGTCGGATATGTTACCACTGAGCTATTCGGGCTTGCTGTTGACCTCCTGTAGGACAATAATATCATGCGTGTCTAGGCTTTTCGTTTAGTGTAGTTTTCGTCTAGTCTCCGCAAGGACCGTGAACAGTGGTGGGTGACAAAGGCGAAAGAGATGGAAAAAGCATCGGCGATAGGCAACACTAGGCAACTCTTTAGACTCATCAGGGAAACGGGTGGGAGAAGGCCAATCATAAGTGAGACTATTTCTGAGAAAAATGGCTCCTTAATTAGCTCTCAGGATAGACGCCTTGAACGCTGGAAGGAACACTTTGAGGAACAATTTAACTTGCCTACAGCCACACTGAGCCTCCCCGCCATCCAGCACACACCCGAATGGGATATAAATACTGGCCCGCCGTCTGTAAGTGAGGTCACAAAAGCTATCTGTAATCTGAAACGAGGCAAAGCTGCAGGACCCGACGGAATTATTCCGGAGGTGTTTAAATATGGGGGTGACACACTAGTATATAGTTTAACTAAGGTACTAGGTAACGTCTGGGAATCAGAGACGGTTCCATCAGACTGGGGTAAGTCACTTATTATACCAGTATTCAAGAAGGGAGACAAGTCCTCATGTGATAATCATAGAGGAATCAGCCTGACGAACATAGTCTCTAAAATCCTAGGCTCAGTAATCATGCACAGACTAAGCCGAACTCGGGAGGAACAAACGAGGGAAAATCAAGCAGACTTTAGGCCAGGTAGAGGGTGCATAGATCATATCTTCACTGTCCGACAGATCCTAGAACATAGACACACTTTTAGGCGTCCAACAATTGCCATATTTCTTGACTTGAAGGCGGCCTTCGACTCCGTGGATCGAGAGGTACTATGGCAATGTTTGACTGTCAAAAGAGTGCCAAGAAAGTACATTGCACTAATCAAGGCACTGTACTCAAACTGACGTAGCCGTTTAAAGGCTTATGGGGAATTGTCATCTAAATTGATAACAACCAGTGGTGTCCGTCAAGGATGTCCACTTTCCCCATTCCTATTTAACCTCATCATAGATATGCTAATGGAAGTATCCCTAACTGAACTTAACGACTTAGGAATCGACTTGTTACCAGGGAATAGTCTTACGGACTTAAAATATGCAGATGACATAGTCCTGTTAGGGGAGGATGCTGACAAAATGCAGAGTCTTCTGAACACCTTGAGCAGCAATCTTCGTATGTTTGGCATGCGATTCGCCCCTGTAAAATGTCAGATGATGTTGCAAGATTGGACTACACCGACCCCTAGATTAGAAATAGGGAGTGAAGTGGTTGGTGGAGCGTGTTGACCACTTCACCTATTAGGGAAGTTGTATCAGCACCAACGGATTGATTGGTGACGAAATCTCAGCACGGATACAAAAAGCTCGGGCTGCTTTCGCTAACTTACACCGTCTCTGACGTAGGCGTGACATTCGGCTATCAACCAAGGGACGTGTGTACTGCTCAGCAGTTCGCTCCGTCCTTCTCTATGGCTCTGAAACATGGCCAACACGAGTTGAAGACATGAATAGGTTGTCTGTTTTTGGTCATAGATGTTTACAATCTCTTTCCCACGTTAGGTGGTATAATAAGGTAAGTAATGTTGACGTTAGGCGTAGAGTGTTGGGCAAAGAGGGAAAATCAATCGAAGAGGCTATAAAGTTACATAGATTGAGATGGCGACCATCATGCCAGCCAGCTGTGCTGTAGAAAAGGTTGAATCCAGACAGTAGATTGAATTCTACCAGTCAGTTTGGAGATATATTTGTTAGGTTTTAGTATTTCAAATGTATTAACGAGAAAATCAGATATAAATTGTTCTCACCAAGTAATCTGACTGACTGACTGTCAAGCATGTAACTGAGGAGAGTAAAATCCCAGTCAAAGGTGTCGATTAGATATTTAGTTCTCACATTATTTCTTATACTCATTTTAAAGATCATCGGTAATGAAGGAAGTTGGCGATATCCGTTACTTCATCTTACATCCATACATCGATGACAGCGTTACGTTTCAGAGTAGAACGTTGCACAGCACTGATGTGTCATCCGGTCTAGATGCTGCATTTCGTAAGTGCACTGAAATGGACAAAAATGTACGAGAGAGAAAAATAATCTAATGAAAAGTTATTATTTAATTCTTTCTAGTGCTAAGAAGTCATGGGTATCAGCCAGTGTTTGTGACATGGTCGGATAACGTAACATCATAGACGTACTAATGGACTTAACCCTAACTCACTTCAGAGACTCGGGGATTGACTTGCTACCAGGGTATAATCTCGTTGACTTAGAATATGCAGACGATATAGTCAGTCCTTCTAGGCGAGGACGCTGACAAAATGCAGAGTCTTCTGAACACCTTGAGCAGTAATCTTCGTATGTTTGGCATGCGATTCGCCCCTGTAAAATGTCAGATGATGTTGCAAGATTGGACTACACCGACCCCTAGATTAGAAATAGGGAGTGAAGTGGTTGGTGGAGCGTGTTGACCACTTCACTTATTTGGGGAGTTGCATCATCAGCCCGAACGGGTTGATTGCTGATGAAATCTCAGTACGGATAAAGAAGGCTCGTTTCGCACATGCCAGTTTACGCCGTCTGTGATGTAGACGTGATATCCGGTTGCCGATCAAAGGATGTATGTACTGCTCAACAGTCTGCTCCGTCCTCCTTTATGGCTGTGAGCAAGACATGGCCATTGAGAGTAGAAGACATGAAAAGCTTGGCTAGCTGTCTTTAATCATAGGTGTCTGAGTTCTATTTCCCGTATGAAGTGGTATAATAAGGTGAGCAATATCGAGGTTAGGCGTTGGGTGCTAGGTAGGTGGGAGGAGAAATCAATCGACCAGGCTGTGAAATTACACCTATTGTGATGGTTAGGACCTGTGTTACGCTTGCCTAGCCATCGCCTCTCTCGGTAATGGGCAATGTTAGCTGACATAATATGGATCAGGTTGAAAAAGAGCTAGCGGCGGTCAAACGAAAACATGGCACCAGTCAATGAAATCTACAACAGTTAGTCTAAGCCACGTAGGAAGGTGTAGACTTCCTGACTGGTTCGGGTCCTCGGGACAGTAAAAACCAATGGTTGGAAACAATTGGTGACATGGCTCAAAATCGTTCTCAGTGGCTAGCGCAGATGCATCCACTCCTTGTGACTCATGATTTCCAATTAAACTGTTTTGTTCTTCGTTATTACTATACCTTTGTCTCACACCTCTGTTTACTGTCTATATTATGCATTTCTTCTCTTGCTTTGTGTGTTACATGGAGTGTGGCGACTTGAGCTGCCGCACATATATGCAAAGTTCTATGTCGAAAACCGACGGACCGATAACGTAGAGCAGCCATCAAAGTTTGCCTGGCTTATTGCGATATCCTCATAAAGTGGAAGGTGACATGTGATACCATGTCGCAGAACAAAAACAGCCAAGTTAAACTTTAAGCACCACTAATTACCCATGGAGTGCGACCGCACCAATGACCTTGAAGCGCTCACTGAGCAAGTTAGTGAAATCCTGCAATTTATGTTGTCATCATCAATAAAATACGCTAATCGAAGTGTTATGCTATTAAATGGGATATCTGGCAAGTTTCAGCTTAGGCTTGGGAAAGATTAAGTTACGCTTTAAGCCAAGGACAAGTTAAGGTTAGGTTAACCTAACAAAGGCGACATTAGGGTTGGTTCAAGTTAGATTACAGTTAGTTTAGGGATTTTTTGCGTTAGGGCTAGGTTCAGCAAAGATTAGGGTTAGAAGACCTAA